CTGCTGAGGGAGGGCTATGCTGGAATTTTTTCTTGCAAGTTTCATTTTGTTCCAATTTTGGCTTTTTTGTAACTTAAATTTTTGTACTAATTTAACTGCATTGGTTCATCTATTTATAATTTTAACAATTGATTTAATTATATTATTTCAGTCCCTAGTGTGGCTGCAGTTAAATTGAAGTTCCAACAGTATAAAAGTATTAATATCAATATATCTTGTTCTAGTAAATTGCTGGAAGGTCTGGTTTGTTTTATCCCAAGATCATAACAAGAGACATTCATGCCTGCAAAATAGGGTTTCTTTATACCACCTAACAATTTCACTTCCTTATCACTACTTAACCATGAGATCTCTAAAACAATGCAAATTGCACATTTCGAGTAATGATGTACACAGACAAGAACTGCTTCATTTGTACCCTGTAAGAAGAAATAGCCTGAGGGAAGTATACTGGTATTCAATGTTATAATAGTAATTTGGAAATTTGTTACAAAAAATCAGGCTGCTGTTTTTAAACTTCCCTAGAAACTCTCGGGTATTGAAGGGAGAAGCAAGGAAGGAAGCATCCAACTAAACTTTTTCAGAAAACTTTTTGAGCTTGATAACTTCATTGTTTGAACTTGTTCAGGGCTCAGAATTCTAAATGCCATTTTTACCTTGCTGCACACTGCCTGTCTGAAAAGGCAGTCGTACTGTTTCTAGTAGCTGGCAGTTATCTTGTCCAAATCCTGGGTGAAGTGACCCCTGCATGTGTGTCTGCCTTCTAGAAGCCAGTCTGACAGTCTGAAGATACTTGGGAGTAAGGGGGCAAAAGTCTTTAAACTAGAGCACTGTATATTCTTACTGAGTAACATTTGTACAGTAGTTGGGAAATGGCTATTAGGACCTCTACGGTTTCTTTTTTAGACGGTGTCCATAATGGTAGGAAGGTTATTTAAATGAGTACTTTCTGTATGAAATATTTTTTTACTGGCTAATAATACCTGTTTCATGGCAGGAGTCTTATGTGCAGTTCTACATAACAAAATGCCTGCTGTTTGATTTTTTGATTAAAATTATAAGCAAGTGGCTGGAGGATTTTTTTTGTGGGGTAGGGGGGATTTCTTTCATGCTTGTCAGAAGATGTTAGTGTCTGAAGTCTGCTCCTTTCTTGTCAGCATAGTCCCTTCAAGTGCTGGCAGTCCAGGTTTCCCTCAGGTAGATGGCTCTTAAGGTTTGTAGTGCAGTTAGATGGCTCATCATTTGCAACTTGGAGTGGTGAATAAGAACAAAAGAGGAGAATTGCTGTCTCAGACTATAAAGTAAACCTGGCAGCATTATAGGTTGGGATTTTTGTTTTCTTTTGGTCTTCTTCATGTAAAAATGTCAAAATTGTGTCCTTTACAATTTTGTATGTGTAGAGAGAGGATGGGAAATCATTTGAAATGGAACACGCTTTAATACATGCATGTGTGCTTTTGCTAGTCTGGGATAAAAGGAAATCTGGTTTCAGAGGCAGCGTGTTTTTGCTGCATCATCTAGGCCAGTGATTCTCAACCAGGGTGTCAGGGCCCCCTGGAGTGCTGCCAGGTCCTTTGAAGGGTGCCACGAGGTTTGAGGAGATAAGTGATTTGTGAGCTGATAAACAGAAAAGCTGAGTAGATAAATTCCTTCTCAGACTTGTCCCTGCCTGGATGATCCCCTACCTCTACTGCTCAGCTCCTCTGCAAGGAGGTAAGCACTGTAACATATAAATTAGTTTTTGAAATGTGGGGCTACTCAATTCTCAGAAGTTATGGGTAGGGTGCCTTGAGTCTATTGAGGGGTGTTTTGATTCCAAAAACGTTGAGCCACATTTATAGACTGAAGTTACAGAGCTGGGGAGGTAGGGCTTTTTATACTTTGGGGTATATGTCATTTCATGCGTCCCTCTTTCGAAAGTGGAATAGTGTCATGAGCAATTGAGGCATGTGTTTCCTTTTATTGTTCTTTACTGTACAAAAGGGATCTGGCTAGGTTAGTGCAAAAATAAATTGCCTTTACTTTCGCTTTCATTATTCTGTGCTGCGACTGTACCATCTAGAATTATGGACTGGTTCAGCAATTTCTTTAAAGAAGAGGTAACATAAAGCCTGACACATGACAGTCTTGGGGGTTTTCCCTTATTCTGTAGAGGAGCTCATGACTAATAGGTGCAAAACATGCCACAATACAAAGAATTTCAGAGAATGTTCTAGTGGCATTTGATTCTACCGTAGCTAGAAGTCTAGGCTGTTGGGGAAAATGCAGAAGTACAGCAAAAGCAAAAATTGAGCCATTTGGGATGATGGCTAGCTTCTGGTAAGTCTCATCTAGGAAGCCTGCTACTTTCAGGAAAACATTAAATCTAGAGTTGTTGTAGGTATTACAGATTTTTGCAGAAGAGGAGCAGGGAAGAAGGTGAACAGGAAAATAACAGAGATGGTTTCTTCCACTTAGATTTGTGCCTGCAGGAAGCTTCTTGTCATTGATAAGGTACCACGGGTGCTAACACATGGTGTAGTATCTGACATTCTCTATGTTCAGTTTTCGTTATGCTCTGCCATTTGTTAAAGCATATCTTTCCTCTAAAAATTGTAAAAAGGCATTGCGGGAGTAATAGTTGTTTGTGCTTTAAAATGTTACAGTTCTTGGTAGGGAAAAATACTGCAAATCATCATCAATGAAGCAACTTCCTTCTATAGTCTCTCTGCAAGTATTACATCAGTAGTTGGAGATGATAATGGTCCCAAGTACTCTTGAAGATTTTTCTCTGCATTTACCTAAGCAAGTTAGCTGATGAAAAGTCTAAAAAGTTAATTTTTTATCAGACTGAGATTGGTCTTGTACTAATAAGTGAAGGCTACAATGTAGAACAGCTCAATTCTTTGTAAAGAACCTTGGTTCTTTTTGCTTTTATTTATGTTCTTGTTTTTTAATTTGCAGGTCACAGATCAAAAAACCAAAGGTAAGAGACTTAATTGCTTTGGATCTTATCCTTGTCCTTGACTAAAATTCTTGAATGAGAAAGGGAGGAAGACTAATGTTCCAAGTGGAGGTATTGCTGAATGAAGAATCAGCAGAAACAAAAGGTATAACCATCAAAAAGAAGATGAGGTAACATTCCCTGTCAGCCCTTAAAATGTTTGGAGAAGAAAAGACTTTTGTGAATAAATTAATTCCTTCTTCATGGAGACTATCTCAAGAAGAGGCTAATGCTGAAAATTCTTCAAAAGTCTAGTTTTCCAGAAGTGTAGCCACTTCCTGAAACAGACAAGGCACATGGAAAGGAAGAGGAAGAAATACTATTTTATGAAAGCACACCAAAATGACCGTATTGAATTTTTACTTTAGCCAGCACACTGAATTAAGTGATGATGAAAGATTGAGATAGGAAAGCACAGAGACTTGACTATCAAATGATGAGTCAAGGATGATGGATAAATATTTAACTTCTCAAAGTGTTTTTTTAAAATAAGCTTGAACTTGATTTTTGTACCTCATTGCTTTTAAAGTAGCGTGGAGAAGCAGCCACGAAAAAGACAGCAGAGGGGTATGTAGAAGTGATTTGACTTTACAACTAAAATATTTGTCTTTGATTATGGAGCAGTGAAGTGTAGATTGGCATGTCAGAGATCCTAATCTCTAGCTGTTCACAGAAATAAATTTGGGATGCAACATATTCAGTTGCTGTGGAAGAATTCCTGTACCTGATTATGATAGAGTAAATTGCCTCAGGTTTAACTCCTTAGTAAATTGACTGTGTTGCAAGGAATGGAAACACAAGTAGCTCTTTCCAAGTTGCCTGTCCATAGCGTATTTTATAGCAGCACCTGGCCCTTATGATTGATGACCCAGTTTATACTGACCAAATGGCAACCTCAGGATGAAATTAACTACAAAAGCACACCCACAGCAGTACAGCAGTGTAAATTATACTGGTTTATATTTACTTCTTATTTGCTGACTTATTCCATAGCATGTCATGTGCTTGCTTCACTTTTACTGTGAAAAAGTCATTTTATTCCATAGTAAACATGGTTGGTCCACATCCTTGGCTTCATGTTAGACAGTGTAGAGAATAGAGGAGCGCAGGTACACCATTTCTGGAACCAATTAAGCAGATGAAGACAGCTAAGTTAAGTGAAAGACTCAGGTCCTCCTAGGATTCTCACTTTTTTGCTGCTATTATTTCATCTCTACTGAAAGGTCCTCAAAGAGGCTACCTGTGACTACATACAAACCCATCTTGACTGCCTTTCTTCGGTCCTTATAAAAGCCGTTCCCAAGTAAGCTAAAGTGAGCTGCTTCAGAACAAGTCCTTTCCTTCGTTGAGGCCATCTGCCAAAATCAGTGGAGGGGAGGGGTTCCATTGAGGTAATGATGAAAGTTTACTATTTTGCTGTAGAATCCTGGTGAAGATCAGGCACAGGTAATCTTCACTTGAGTCTTATTAAATCAGGTCAACAGTATGCCACCCCACCTGGCTTTGATGAAGGTAAGCTGTGGTGGAAGCAAGGCTTTATCACTTTTTGTCATGTAGTTTTCTCACTGGGAAAGAACTTACATTAGTTATCCCAATAAAAATAAAATTTAAGAAATACTATCCCTTTTGTTTAGTGAAAACATAAACCTAGTGAGCAAGGCAAAAGCTTGGGATCTAAATTCAGATTTCTCGTGTAGTGGCCCAAAACACTGCTGCTGAAACAACCAAAAATTAAGATGGGGCAGGAAAACTAGCAACAACTTTACATTAATCACAAATAGTCTGGAATTAAAACTTACCTTTGCTCAAGGAAGTTCTCTGCCAACTCCTGCTTCTGTCCCTAGATGTTTCATAGAATTTCATAGACATTAGGGCTGTAAGGGACCTCGGAAAATCGAGTCCAGCCCCCTGCCCGAGGGACAGGAAGTCAGCTGGGGTCGTAGGATCCCCATAGGCATCCAAATTTCTCTTGAAGGTGTTCAGTGTAGGTGCTTGAACCACCTCCTATGGCAGGCTATTCCAGACCTTGGGGGCTTGGACAGTAAAGAAAGTCTTCCTTATGTCCAGCCTGAAACGGTCTTCCTTATGTCCAGCCTGAAACGGTCTTATAACTGTTCGACCTTGTCATCCTTTGGCGCTCTTTGGTGAACAAGTGCTGTAAAAATTCAGGTGAGAAAGTCAGTGGGGCTAGGATTTTATCCCTGCTGTCTTAGTAATTTGTGGAGGAGGGAGAAAAATAGGCAGAAGTAGCATATTTCTATAACTAGGCTGGTTTCTTGATTGGGTTGAAGTTGCACAGTACTCTGAGAGAGGAGTGACTGTATCAAAGTTGAACCACAATGAGTTCTGAAATCTATTTTATTGTTATTTTAATTTACAAAAATCTGAATGTCTTTACTTTTATTTTCAGTGCCCGAAGTGACGAAACCAAGTTTAAGCCAACCAGTGGCCGCCAGCCCAATTGGCAACTCTCCATCGCCACCAGTCAATGGTGGCAACAATGCCAAAAGGGTGGCAGTGCCGAACGGACAACCGCCAAGCACCACCCGCTACATGCCTCGGGAGGTGCCGCCGCGATTCCGTTGCCAGCAGGACCACAAAGTGTTACTGAAACGTGGGCAGCCCCCTCCGCCATCCTGTATGCTCCTTGGGGGTGGGGCAGGGCCTCCTCCCTCAACAGCACCTGGAGCAAACCCAAGCAACGCACAACCAGTGACAGGAGCACTGCTGCAGAGCGACAGTGGGACTGCAACAGGTATGGATGCTTAGCCATAGAAGGATTGTTCAAAAATTGTTCTTGCATATTTTATGACATAATGTATTTTTCTGAAGTTTAGGAGTTTTATTTTCTGCTTTTAGTGCAACTCTTCCCAGCTAGTGCTGGGCTTTAACTTCTTTAAGATACTGATTGTTTCATGAAAAACTGAATCAGCAGAATTGCTATGTTGGAGCAAAGGAATAAGCCATATAACCTGGTGCTCTATCGCTGTTTCTGATAGTAGCTAGTCTGTACCCCACTCTGCACAGTAATATACCCTGTTGACAAAACACTGCTGTGAAAGCAAATATCAGTTAGAAATTATCCCTTAGTTTATGATCTGAAATAGTGGTGTTGAACCTTTTGGTGCTGCAAGCCAAATGAGTGGGCTGAAGCCAGTCCATAGGCCAGATCGGATCTTATGCCCCAGGATTGGGCCATGCACTGCTAAATTAGGACCTTGCAACCCCAGATAAGGGCCCCATGCTGCCTCCCTTCAACAGCACACTGCAGAATCAGGCCCAGCACTGCCTCAAGCTGGCCCCTGCGCCCTGAACCAGACACTAGGCCACTTCTGTTCTAATCTAATGTCCTATCTGGCCCACAGGGCTCCCCACAGATCTGGAAATTTGGCAACAGGGGAGTGACAGTTGCTGCCACTGCTCCCCCACTGCCAAGTTTTTGGACCTGGGAGGACCCCTGTGGACCATGTAGCATGGCTCCATGGGCTAGTTCTGGCCTGCAGGCTGGGGGTTGAGCACCCCTGATCTGAACTGTATACTTTTAATAGATCTTCTTTTATGTCAGTTATTGTAAGCATCCTGTTTTATAAAAGACTTCTGGTGGGTTTTTTTAGCTACAATATTTGTAACTTACAGTATAGAAATGCCACCCTTGTTGATTTTATTTGTGCTTAGAAGTTGTGATCTTATCTGCTCTAATGTGTAAGAACACAACAGGATAAAGACAACATTGCGACAGATTATCAACTTCAGAGTGACAGTCCTTAGGTGCTTGGTGCTCAGTGTACTCTTATGCTTGGCACAGAAGTTGCACATAAACCGGTTTAAGTCTTCAGAAACTGGTTTAAACCTGTAACGGAACAGAAGCTCAGTGCACATAAACCAGTTTGAAAATGGCTGAAACTGATATAATATAAACCTGGTTGAATGTAGTATCAGTCTTAACTGATTTGGTGAAACCCTTTTATGAAACTTCTGTCCCAGACCCCTTCCTGGTTGAAGTTAAATCAGAGTCCCTCCGCATCCCAGCATAGGCTGTGTGTTCACTTCCCCTTCCTGCTACCCCTGAGGTCTCTGGGTTTTGCAGTCCAGATGCACAACAGCAGGATTCTGCAGGGTTGTCCATCACTTCCTCTTCCTGCTTCCAGGTGCTTCTGGGATTTGTAGTCCATGATCACAGTCAGCAGGACTCTGCATGGTTGTTTCCTTCTGTTCAATAATGCTCACTTCAGAGAGGGGACTATTCTTGTTCAAGCTTTTATTCATTCAATACTACTACCGTTTTCCCCACTCACCCCGTCCTCAGCCTGGCAGGCACTGCCCCCCAGGCAGACCCTCCAGCTAGTTCTGGGCTGTCGCTTGGCCACACCCCCTCCATTCAAGCAGGGAGGGGGGAAAATGAAAGTAAATACAAGATCACATGAAAGCTAAAGGTGCTATAAAGATAAATGTTCTTGATCAGATGATACCATTACAGGTCAGGGCAGCAAACAACAAAATCTTGTAGGCTCCATATAAACTCAGTAATGTATGTGCTGTGTTGTATGTCCTTATTTTATCTTCCTAAGGATCAAAGGAAGCAGATATCAGTGAAATAAGGAGGTTACAGTAGTGTTTTTTTTTTTAAAGTTGTCTTCAGTACTTTAGGAACAGCTTCCTGTTCCTTGGCTATAGCCCTCGGTATCAGAAGAACTGTTTGTTTCCAAGTGCTATGTTCAGTCTTTGTACTTTAAACAAATAATGGTGTTTGAGGTTGAGGTTGCTTGGGGCTGCTGTTACCTGTGTTTGCAATTTTAGCACTATGTTAACTGTCCCTTGATGTCAACTCCCTTTTTATACAGTAGACCCAACTCTGTTTGCAAATTTTCCTTTTAAATCACCATTCTCTTCTAAGGTCCCTCCGATTGTATCCAGGGCAGAGCCAGGGTCCGACCCAAATCTATACCAACTAACACTCTAAAATATGGGAAGATCTGGTTTACGTGTGTTTATCACTGATAGTAAGAGAAGTTCAGCCTGCATTCAAAGCCTTTTTCCCCCTTGTGTATTCAAGTGAAGTTGTACAAATGTTAGCTAACATTTAGCATAGGAAGGTCTTGATGAAATATTTAGTTCCTGAGAAGTGGTCTGTCTTTTGTCTTTGGAAGTCACTGCCTACATGAAACCATTGCACTGGCATCACAATCCTTCCTCTGTGCCAGGATAAACAGGCTTTTAGATGAAACAAGCAGCAACAGCAACGTTTCATATAAAAGCATATTGAAGGATTTCATGATCGGTCTTCTTGTGCAGATAGATCTGTTTCTCACAATTGGGGTCTACAGTTTTCTTCTAGAAGAGTCAAGTTCTGATAATATTACCCAGTAGGTGAACATTGCTAGTGTGCTTTTTGTCCAGAGTCGGTAATACTTAAGATGAGCAAGATAATTGAATAATAAAGACCTTTAATTTTGTTGATTTAAATCTGAACGAGACTAGAAGATTTTGACACGTATCTTCTAGATATTTAAGTTACTACCTTTGCCTCTTATGAGCCTTTGTCGTCACTTTAATGTTAAATATTTCACCGCTGTATATGCAGCTAGTGGGTTGGATCCTGCAACTGTGATCTTAAATAAAAATGTCTTCAAAAGCTTCTGGAAAATTACTGAGAAGTCAAAAGCCTTTAAATAGCAAAGCCTCTGCAGCTGTATGATAGAGAATTTAAAAAGTAGAACAGAAAACTAAATAATATGTAATGTACTAATATTTGTTACATATTTTATGCTAAATCTCTCCAGAACTCAAGATTTCAGGGTTTGGGGGAGGTTTTTTGCTGGGGGGGGTGTTACCAAAAAGTGGTTACTTTTATTGACACTGATAAATTTGCACTGATGTTAGCAGAGATGAGAAACCTAAAGCAGATGTATTCTCTAGCCCTGGCAGCTAGTTTCAGCACCATATTGCATAGATTTCTACTGAGCAAATTAATTTAATCCAGGGCTGCCTAATTTATGGGTGGCTGTAGGCTACACATCCTCCCCGCGCCTCGCACTGTGCTGCATGGCAGGTACCCACACCACGTGGAAAAGCTTGAGCGAATCCAGAAAAGAGCCACCTATATGATCAGAGACTTGCAAGGCAAGCCATACGTGGAAAGGTTGAGGTACTTGGGCCTCTTCAGCCTAAAATAAGAAAAGGCTGAAAGGGAACTTGGTAGCAGCTTACTGGTACATCAGTGGAGCACATCAAGGGCTCGGCGATCAACTGTTCACCAGGGCACCCTTGAGGAAAACCAAAAGTAATGGCCACAAACTCCTGGAAGACCATTTCACGCTTAACACTAGGAAAAATTTCTTCACAGTTAGGGAGTCCAGACTGTGGAATAAACTCCCTCCAGAGGTGGTGCAATCACCTACCTTGGAAATCTTCAAGAGGAGACTGGACGGTCACCTTGCTAGTGTCACCTGGTCCCAGTTGTCTTTCCTGCCTAGTGCAAGGGGGCTGGACCCAATGATCTTGTGAGGTCCCTTCCAGCCCCCGTATAATCTATGAACCTGTGGCAGGTGCTGCCTCCACTGCATGGTGCCAGTACTCACATGCCCTGCTGTGCCACATGCCGCCACCCCGCCCCCACTTCTGCCATGATACCCCATGCCTTACAGGCCATATCACATTGCCCCAGCCTGCAGGTCACACCACATCACCATGCCTTGCCCCCAGAGGTGGGGCCAGGAAGCAGAAGTTGGAGGATGGAGGAGGAACAAAGAGACTTCGGCAGTGGCAGCAGTTGGGACCAGATATAGTCCATGTGCCTCCAGCTGGACAACCCTGGTTTTGATCCAATGCTGCAAACTCCTAGGACTAATGAGCAGAGTAAATTGCAGCTTCTAACAGGTAGTAGCTGACCCCATAATAGCAGTACTTCTGATGGCAAGAGTAAAAGTTTCTTTAATAAATAAATTCACTTGTGTGGATAGGTTCTTTAAAATGTGCATCTTCTCTTCACATTCCAGTACAGGATGTTGCTCTCTTTTTACAGTCAGGGTATTTGTGAAGAGATATTTTAATGCTGTTTTATTTAAGTATGATCTATTGTAGCAGTCCTCAATTTTTCAGTCTCCCTAACTGTTTGGGATTTAGCAGTGCCCTGTTGAGAAACATGGAGCTAAAATCTAGTTGGTGACAGATGAGGGTGATGAGGGCAGGACCTCACCCCACCATGCTCTGCTTTTTCGCAGTCTGCCCCCTCCCTGCCCCGATGAGTACCTGAAGGGGCAAGTGCAGTCCCTGCCTTTGCTACTGCACTTCCAATGAGACTGATGCTGGTATCTGGAATCACATATGCCTCCAGCCCCAGGAGCATGGATGCAATGGCGGTGGGGGGAAATGATGATGAGTTGGGTTGAAAAGTGCAGTCATGTGTCCCCCCATGCACATGCACAGCAGGTCACACTGCTGGGAGCACAGGGATGACTAGGATGGGGTTGCTGGGAGGCAGGTAGCAGCCATAGCCACTGCTTGTCTGCAGTGTGATGGGGCACTCAGCATCAGGGGGGAGGAGGAGTGGTCACTTTACTTCCATCACAGCTGCTGGGGACTGTGGCATTTTTTGGAAGGGTCTTGCAGCACCCTGGGTTGCTTCCCTATCCCAGTTGAGAATCAGTGATCTAATCCCTTCGTAGAAGTGCAGGCTTTTACTAAACAATCTCATGGTTTCTCAGAGCCTCCAAGAGAGGCTATGGCATTTTGAGGTTATTGTTTCTTCTTAACATCTCTGAGAGAGACAGTAAACCAAGCCAGAAGTGAGGGTTTAGGGGGGTTTGTTTGTTTTTGCACTCCAGACATTTATTATTGACCTGCCTCATAGCTTTCCTTACCAGTAAAAGCACTACAATGCTGTTTGTTCATTTCAAGTTCATCCGTAGTCTATTTTCACCTCAGATGAGTAACTTACCTTCTCTCCATCACATTCATTTCTAGGTAAGAATATCTTAAAAGCTAAGGGACCCCCTAGCCACTGTTTTACAAGGACAAAGTCCTTCTCTTAAATTCCCAAAACGACTTGAGGACATGGTATGGTGATAAAAATATGAGGACAAGCAGTTTCTTTTCAACGTTTTGTCTAAATAGATCAAAGCATATTCTGAGAGTTAGCAGGCATCCCTGTCTTTGAGGTTTTTAGAACACGCTCATTTAGGTGCAAGGCAGCCTTGAGTGCATCTACAAAATGCTTTTACTATCGGAGTGTACACAGAGCTGCTGCTGAGAGTGATAATCATATTTTTACAGGCAACATTCCTCTAGTTTGAGGGAGAGCCCTGCAATCTTTAACTAGTCTCCTCAGTCTGCCTTTCTGGATGGTTCTTGCTAATACTTTTCTCATGCTTAGGAGCCCATACTTGCAACTGGATTTCCAGTACATTTCAGTGTGGAGCCATGTTCCATGTTGTTGTGGCACCATCCAGAACTTTTCTCCCCGGTATATCAGGGTTAGGTTGGACTCTGAAGGGGTGTGAGTTGCATATCCTCCATAACCTCACCCTGATTTGTTTAATAAGGGAAGGTGAAATCCATTTTGGCTGCCTTTGGTTAAAACTTACCAGAAGGTTCAAGGTTTGGTATAATGTGTGGATCCTTACCAACAAGAAATTAAGTTACAGACAGGCACCTCTTTTATCTACTGAAAATTTGGAAATCGACTAAGAGAGTACCCATCAAATTGGTTAATGAGCTGAAGAAGTATAAAATGTGTGCTGGCAGCAGTTTTGTTCTCTAATTAAAATATCAGTAAGTAAAAATTCCCATGATCCTTATTCTTGGATAAATAAAGTTAGATTTTTTTTTTTTTAAACATTGAGGTATGTGTAACAGGATTGCATTATTTTTAGAGGGGTGTGACTTACCTTCAGGGCAGCTGCTGTGACACCAGACAGTACTCAGTAGTGCATATGAAGGCAAGGTTGACCATGATACGGATATTTCTACAGATTTCATGCCTCACCAAATGAGCTTGCCCGGAGGGGCACAGTTACCACAGTGGTACCAAGACTCATTAGAGAAGATCTTCATGTAGAAAGAATTGGAAAGTTCAGTCTTCACATAAGGAAATCTTTTACAGGATATTCTTAAGTCCTTGTGGTAGAAACATCCAGAAAAATGACAAGTAGCATCAAATGGAGAACATGACTTAACAGGCTCATTTTTAAAGAATAACACGAGGGGGGCAGTACAGATTGCAGGGAAGAGGCTGCCAGAATGCATTAGTACCAACAATGAGTAACATAACTCGATAGGTGTGATTTGCCATGAACCCAGTATTGACTGTGCTAGTGTTGCAATGGAATTAATTCATATCGTATCTGATTTAAGTCTGTTCAGGTCTCGTAGAGTGTTTGGGCTAAATTCAGCAATGAAATAAATGTTAGAATAAGATGGCTATTGAAGGAAGGTGCAAGTAAATAGCTAGCTTAGTTTAGTTTACCTGTGGACTGATCTGACATTCAGTAACTTTTCAAAACTATTGTTATTTGTACAGTGATGGGAGGAAGGGAATTTTTAGTTTGAAAATCAACTAGGAATTGGGTACACGATGAACTAAGGAGTGGATAATTTTAACTCTACACCCTTTTGGTAGGTAATTTTTCTGCAACATCCTCTGCTTCTCCATTCACAGAATACGTTACACTTTGTTTGCATAACTAGGGAATGCTAATTTTAGTATTCATTTCATTACTTTATTATACATTCACAAATGTGAATTTTCTTTACTTCTGAATTTTGCTCAGTAACTGCAATAATTTTTTAGAACTGGTCTTGAAAGATTTCTCTTTTGGGTCATCCCTGGTTATTATATTAACTTCAGTGTAATCCATTCACGTGTTAGTTAACTTTTTAAGTAACCAGGCATGTTAGTAAAAAGTGCCAGACATCAGTGAATTTAAGTGTGTACAAAATCATGGGGAGGGATTTTGTGAAATACTGCTTTTTAACAAGAGTCTCGTATGCCATTTTTCACAAAATGTTCTTCTAAAAACAGCTTGGAAGGTTTTGGAAAACTGTGTTTATAAGTGGAAAGGACAATTGGTGGTATCTGTAATTGAGGTCTTCAAAGGACTTGTCAATAGTAACGCAGAGAAATGACCTTTTTCTTCTTAGATTCAACAATTGGAGGTGCTGCTGGTTCAAATTATGCAAATTCCACTTGGGGTCCTGGAGCCTCCTCCAACAACGGCACCAACGCCAACCCAACTCACATCTGGGACAAGGTGATTGTAGACGGGTCTGACATGGAAGAGTGGCCTTGTATTGCCAGCAAAGACGCTGAGTCTTCTTCAGAAAACACCACCGACAACAACAGTGCCTCAAACCCTGGCTCAGAGAAGAGCACTCTGCCAGGAAGCACCACTAGTAACAAAGGAAAAGGAAGCCAGTGCCAGTCTGGAAGCACTGGGAGCGAATGTAATCTTGGGGCCTGGAAATCTGACCCCAAGACTAAATCTGTTCAATCTTCCAACCCTGCTGTGGAGAGTAACAATGGACTAGGAAATTGGAGGAATGTGACTGGGCAGGATAGAATCAGCGCCGGTTCTGGCTTCAGCAACTTTAACCCAAATAGTAACCCATCTGCTTGGCCAGCACTGGTTCAAGAGGGCAGTTCTAGGAAAGGGACTTTGGAGTCTGATAATGGTAACTCCAATGCACAGATTAGCACAGTAGGTCAGACCCCTAGGGAACAGCAGTCAAAGATGGAAAATGCGGGTGTTAACTTTGTCTCTAGCAGAGAACAGGCTCAAATTCATAACACTGATGGACCAAAAAATGGAAACACTAACTCCTTGAACTTAAGTTCGCCAAACCCTATGGAGAATAAGGGAATGCCCTTTGAAATGGGCTTGGGGAACCCCTCCAGGAGCACTGATGCCCCTTCACAAAGCACTGGAGAAAGAAAGCCTGGGAATGTTGGATCTTGGGGTACAGCTAGGGGGCCTTCTGGAACTGACACAGTCTCTGGACAAAGCAATTCTGGAAACCATGGGAACAATGTAAAGGATAGAGAGGATTCCTGGAAAGGAGGTTCTGTACAAAAATCTAATGGGTCAAGAAATGATTCTTGGGATAACAATAACAGGTCTACGGGTGGTGGGTCTTGGAACTTTGGCCCTCAGCACTCAAACGAAAGCAAATGGGGTGAAGGGAACAAATTGACATCTGGGGTCTCTCAGGGAGAATGGAAACAGCCGTCTGGGTCTGATGAACTGAAGATTGGAGAATGGAGTGGTCCAAACCAACCAAATTCTAGCACTGGAGCATGGGACAATCAAAAAGGCCACCCTCTTCCTGAAAACCAAGGCAATTCCCACGCTCCCTGTTGGGGAAGATCTTCCAGCTCTGCAGGAAGTGAGGTTGGAGGTCAAAGCACTGGAAGTAACCACAAAGCAGGAAGTAGTGACAGTCACAATTCTGGACGCCGATCATACAGGCCTACACATCCTGATTGCCAGGCAGTCTTGCAGACTTTGCTGAGCAGGACTGATTTGGACCCTCGTGTGCTTTCAAACACTGGCTGGGGCCAAACTCAAATAAAACAAGATACTGTGTGGGATATTGAAGAGATGCCACGGCCAGAGGGGAAATCTGATAAAGGAACTGAGGGGTGGGAGAGCTCTACCACACAGACAAAGAACTCAGGGGGCTGGGGGGATGCACCCAGCCAAAGCAATCAAATCAAGTCTGGATGGGGTGAGCTCTCAACCCCAACAGAGTGGAAGGACCCCAAAAATACAGGAGGGTGGAATGACTACAAGAACAACAATTCCTCCAACTGGGGAAGTGGAAGACCAGAAGAAAAACCATCCTCCTCTTGGAATGACAACTCCAACAAGGATCAAGGGTGGAGTGGACGGCAACCTAATCAAGGATGGTCTTCAGGAAAGAATGGTTGGGGAGAGGAGGTTGACCAAACAAAAAATAGTAATTGGGAAAGTACAGGAAACAAACCAGTGTCGGGTTGGGGTGAAGGCGGACAAAATGAGATCGGGACTTGGGGTAATAGTGCAAATGCAAATGCTGCTTCAAAGGGTGGATGGGATGATTGTAAAAGAACTCCAGCATGGAATGAGGCTGGTCGACAGCCCAACTCCTGGAACAAGCAGCAGCAGCAACAACAGCAGGAGACTTCTGGCTCCTGGGCTCCACCACCACAAACTCCAGGTAATGGGCGACCTCCAAATCCAAACTGGAACAGTGGGCCACAGCCATCTGCCCCCAAGGATGAGGAGCCCAGTGGCTGGGAAGAACCTTCTCCACAATCGATAAGTCGGCAAATGGATATTGATGATGGCACTTCAGCATGGGGAGACCCCAGCAGTTATAACTATAAGAATGTGAACCTGTGGGATAAGAACTCTCAAGGAGGACAGGCCCCACGAGAACAGAGTCTGCCTACTCCAATGACTAGCAAATCAACCGCATCAGGTACTGTTTTACCTCCATGAAACAAGATGTCTAAATGTTTGTGCATTCTTCTAATCTCTAATAGTTTTGATCCATTAGCAAAATTAAACTCTTATGTGACTGTTTGGCTACACATACAATTATGATTTATTTGTAATGTGATTGTACTCTGAAGAGTAGCTGTGAAAATAGAACCACTAAATTCCACATTTTATTATCTCTAAATGACTTCCATCTGAATGCTGCTCAGTTTACAAGTAAAAGGATATGTTCTTTCTCTGACAGCCCTGTAAACTCAACCTGAGATCTGAGAGACCAGACATATTCTTACTGGTTTATACATCGCTTCCAGGAAAACATTATACAGGCCAAATTTTGCCGCCTTCTACACCTGTTTAAAAAAACAACCAAAAAACTTTAGTTTTCTTTAAAGAAATTGCCTTTGTCATATTGAAAAAACAGATCCTTTGCTATGAAATTGGAATTTAGTTGACAAATGTGACTATGCGTGAGCCGTGTATTGGCTTAGTTGACTCTCTTGTATCTGTTGGTTCTACCACGCTCTCAAGAACAAATAGAGGCAAAAAAAGATGTTTTTGGTAATGCAGATATGTCAAATATGGAATTCACAGGATGTATATTAAGGTGGCATTCCAAGTCACTTTTTGAACAGTATGTAGTTTTATGTATACTCTTAAATTTATCCTGGTTTTTCAGAATATTAATCCCTTGGTACTAAAAACTTGTCAGGGGAAGAGTTGTTTAATGAATTAATTCCTCATCTGAATCAGTGGTAATATTGCTTCTCCATAGCACTGCTATTAAATGTCCTCTTCTGTTCATTCCTAAATGGAGTTAAATGCCTGCACTGACTGTAGTGTGGAGAAGTTCTAGTGCACTTTTTGATAGCTTGAGCTACACCAGATACAGTCAAGTCTATCTAAAGGCAGACATATAGTACACTGTTCATTATTTTGAGCTGAATAGCAATGGACAATTCGTTTCATAACTGTTCTGTAATGAAAACTCTTTCTCCTTTGTGCAGTCTGGAGCAAAAGCACACCACCTGCTCCAGATAATGGTACGTCCGCCTGGGGTGAGCCAAATGAAACTAGTCCCGGGTGGGGTGAAGTGGATGATACAGGAGCATCGACTACAGGCTGGGGGAATGCACCCTCCAACACCCCAAATGCCATGAAACCTAGTGAGTATAGACCACACACAAGCTATTTCTTTCATGATTCTATGGCTTTGTAATATCTGACTTTTGGGTATGGGTGAGCCAGGTATGTAGTGTCATCTTTTCCCAGTGAGAACTAGAAGGAACACTGAATGTTCTTTAAGATAGTGATGAAGGCTGTCTGAATAAAGTACTTGTAGCGACTACAAACTGAAAAGCAAAGGGGAACTATGTTTAGTATAAGGTTTTATATACAGCTATGATACTGGTAATGACATATTTCTACCTTTACCTAAGAGCAATTGGTTGCTTTTTCTCTCAGCAGCTTCTCCCTGGCTATATACCTAAGTACTTAATGTTGGGGAAACTGTTAGGCATGAAAAATTGTGTATACCTCTTAAGAAAATTATTCAGGCCTTTTTTGCACCCAACCCAAGAAAGCTGAACTTTTCAATCATTTACTTGTCATGTTTGAATTATCAGTAAATGAGATCCTGCTGAGCTTGTGAGGGAAAAAAACATTTTGAAATTAGGATTTTGATATGTACACAGTTTTGTTTACCAAAAAAAAACCATTTCTCCCAGTAAAGGCTGGTTCATGAAGTTTCTTTCTGTTTTTTTCTGTTAAAACAGGAAATCTAAATGCAAAAAAAAAAAAAGATTAAAAAAAATATTCTGAAACTTTGCTCCAAGTTTGTAATTCTGGTCATCTGGTCAAGATTTTTGGATTCAGCCCCTTGTAGAGGAACGTGCCATAGTAAATCCTTTGGTTCCAGTGTCTGATTCTCTGCTCTTCTTCTCCCCTCTTTTGCACTCCTCCTTATTTCTCATCTTTCTGTTTTAATGGGTAGCTTTCTCTTCCTCTGTGAATCTGTGAGAGCACAGGAGAAGGTAGGAATAGGTGGGTCTGAGACTGAGACTGGAGGTGGCAAGAGCTAGAAAGCTAGTTGCAGGGGATGGAGGTGAAAATAAAGAAAGAGACTTGGAATTAATGGGGTTGAAGGAAGTAGATGGATGTCATAGAAAGGCCTGGTAAGTAGTCTAAGGTACAGAGGGAAAACTGGGATTAGTTGGATAAAGAACCAGAGAGGTGAGGATCATGAGATTTGCATGAGAACCAGAGAGAATAAGAGCAAATAAGGAGTGTGTGTGGCCAGGGGGTAGGCCACTAGAACCTGGGGTGACAGAAGGGAGAAATCAGAAAGTAGGGAGTGGAATCAAGATGAGTTGGAAATGTAAGTGGGTACGGAATAGAATGTGGTTTTTACTGGATCTGGTAGGGCAAGGAGACATGGGTAGTCAGATCTATGAATCTAGAAGAGGGGTCAGCAGTTATTTGGGCCCACGGGTCACATAGGGAGTTTTGGGGAGCTGTTCCGGACTGGGTCAGCAAGGCCTCCTTTCCCACCCCTGCAGCAGCTCACCAAATCTCCCTGTGTGGGAGGGGGCTGTGAGTGGGTGGGCAGAGAGCTAGCAGCAGGCTCAGCTGGGGACCCAGCAGCACCTCCAGGCCACCCTTCTACCCTGAGGAGGAGCTTGGACAGATGCCCCCATCCCCAGTGGGAACCAGCTGGCTGCATCCACAGGTGATGCTGGTGCCCACCCCACACTGCTTCCGGCGCTCAGGCTGGGAGCTGGTGTAAGCTGTAGCGATGTGCTATAGGTGTGGGATGGTTGGAGTGAGATGGGGAGAGAGCCCTGCCCATGATGAGTGGTGGTGGCCAGTGCTGGGCTCCAGGAAAAAGCGGGACCTGGCAGTGGATGTGCTTGCAGGCTCCCCACTAGCTACAGAGGGAGCCTGTGCCAAGGCTGCCCTGTAGCTCCTCCCTGCCACCACCACCAGTGCCACCTCCAGGCTGCCCTGGGCCTGCCAAATGGCAGCGATAGGGAGGAGTCAGAGAGGCACTGGTGTTGGGCTCCAGGCCAGAAGGGCCCTGGCAGTGGCAAGCATGTCTACTCCTGGCACCCAGCACCAGCCACCACTGCTCATCATGGGTAGAGTTGCCTCTCTCACTTTCTCTCTCCCTTCTACCCTTCCCTCCCCTCCTTCCCCCCCCATACCTACAGCACATCCCCACAACTTACACCAGCTCCTGGCCTGTGCACCAGAAGCAGCACAGGGCAGGCGCTGGCATCAGCTGTGAACAAAGCCAACAAGTTTTCGCTGGGGATAGGGGTGTCCACTCAAGTCCGCAACTGACACTGTTGCATCAGGTTATCAGCTGCAGTCCTGAGTAGTCACCTTATCCCCTGCGGGAACTTACTTGCAGTGTCCACAGCTGAGGCTGATGTAAGCTATGGATGGGGCCTGGACATGCGTGCCTGCCCAGTTGATGCAGTAGCTGGAGCTGCCGGTTCCCCAAGGACCAGACCCCATGACTTTGAGGCCAACCACCTGCAGGCCAGATGCAGTCAGTTGGCAGGCTGGATCCAGCTGCAGACCATATTTTGCCCATCCCTGGTCTAGAAGTATGAGAAGAGGAAACTTGACTGAGAAGAATAGAAACTAGGACGAGAAGCCAGTGGTGATATAGTGACAGTATTAGGACAGATTCAAACTGATTGAAATGGCTAGAGGCATTCTATTTGCGAAATGAATGGGAGTAAGAGCCCAGCAAATCATACTCCATTCCAGGCTCAGGAATGGAACTGAGGATTCAGGAGTCTCTCACCATTCCTGAAATGTCCTGTTTCCTTTTGATAATGGTCGGCATTGTCTAGCAGTTCCCAAACTAAGGGTCATGGTTCAAAATGGATTCCCGGTGCTTAAGAGTAGGATCTCATGCTACACATATTGTTACCTGGATGGGCTCAAACTAGAAATAGGTTCATAGCCCAAAAAGATTGGGCCATGACCACAACAGGTTATTACTGCTTTCATTTACTTAGTTAGTCTAAGTGGCAAAGGACTGTGTGGTGTAGGAGCTGGCAAACAATAGCTTATGGGCCATATTCAGCCTGTGGAGCCTTTAGATCCAGCTTGTGGAGCTGTGGTTTAATTTCTTCAGCATTTGACAGCAGGGGACTCTGCCCATGCTGTGCCACAGTTGGGCACCCAAGGATTGGGCAAAGGAGGAGCCCACCCTCTGCTGCATTGTATCTGCTTGGCAGAAAGAAGTTGAGGTAGCTGGGTCCCTAGTCCCCATCCATCTCAGAGCTGGGCTGTGTTATGCTGGACTCCTCCATAAAATATTGCAGACCCTGCTGTAGTCTGTGCAACCTAGATGATAAACCATATGTACATCAGTATGATGCCACCTGATGGAATTTGTGTTTTACAGAAATTTTTTTTACAGCTTTTGAAAAAATACAGAAATTATACCGGTTGCGTGCACATTATTAAGGTTGCAAGGTCAAACACTCAGAAGTTATGAAATGTTAGAATTAAGGTTACATGTGCAATTATAATAGTTTTTAATTATATAATCATAGACTTTTTTCACAGGCCCCCTGCCATATTCCACCCATAAAATGGAGAGTGATTACCTAACAACCACGTAATCTTTTGCTTTCTTCTTACTAAGTGTATAGCCACAGATCTTTTTTACTGACTGCTTTTCAAACCCTGCACTGAAGAAATAATTGTTAATTTTCCTCATTGCCTCTTCTGTGGTATTCATTGCTTTCCTTCTCACTCCTGTGAGATGGATGGGTATTAAACCCATGTTGCAGATGGTGAACATAAACAGAGAGATTAATACAAAAAGTATATAGCTAATTTTCAAATTCCAAATTGAGGTACCCGAGGCCTGATTTTTCTTTATCGTACTTAACATTTCATAGCATTTATAGGACCTAAGTGCAGTTTCTGTTGACTTTAGTAGCAGCTACAAGCACAAAATAATCATTTTCTTTTTATTTATTTGATTTTTACACTGCCCTTCCCAAAAAAGGCTGAGGGTAGCTGGAGTAAAATAAGATGAGTCCTAAAATGAGAGAAAATGTTAAAACAAAATAATAGACTAGTTCTCCAAGCAGTACTCCAAAACCTAATCCCACTGCAAAAGGCTGCCCAAATAATAAGGTCTTACAACACTGCTGAAAGATGTCCAGGCTTGGAGAGAGTTCCAAAGCTGAGGAGCAGCTGCCGAGAATGAGCTTCATCATATTCTCACTGAACTAGTTTGATGCACAAAGAGAACCTGCAAGAGATTGCTGTTGGCTGACCTTAGGGACTGCAATGCAACTTTGATATGTAGGGTTCGGACCATTGCATACTAAAGGTACTGAGTTAGGCATCCAGAAGATCAAAAACCCACAATTAATGACATCTGTGAAAAGTTTGGGTAAAGTGACTTGCCCACCGTCATCTGGGAACTCTCTGGGCAGAGTCAAAGAGAGAATTTATTTCATCTTTCTTAACCACAAGGTCATCCTTTCTCTTTCCCCTGCAGTTGCCTGCTTCATTCACTACACACCTTCCAACTTCTCCAGAAAATAAAGCAGGTGGTACACATCTGTCTCCTTTACTACACAGACCTGTGCATAGAATAAGGTGGGGTTCTACAGGGAACAGTATGTGATCATGTAATTGAGAGAATTGTAAGACATGAATGCAAGAATGTCAAGTTAAGGTCATGTAGCGAACCTTATTTCTAGCATTTCTGAACTATTGAGTACCTGACTTTGCAACCTTAATCTTTTAACTTGGATTTTTGTGTATAACCTGCATATGTGATCAGTATTGTAACAAAAAAGATGTTGTGTAGTAGATTTTGTGGCTGATGTAGTCCACCTCCATGGCAGTTTGGCAAGACTGTGTTACTAAGAATTCAGATGCGTGCATATCAATAAATTTAAAAGTTAATGTTCTCACAGCAACAATTTGCATTAGTCATTTACTAATATATAGGAAAAGTAGGTCTGGAAGGCACCTCACAAGGTCATGTAGTCCAGCCTCTGCTCAAGGCAGGACCATCCCTGACTAAACCGTCATAACCAAGTACAGTAAAATCCGCATTATCCAGCACTTTACAAGCCAGCATGCTCTGTTAACCGGCATGGCAGCTTGTAAGGTAAAAGTGAAACCAGAAGTGCCCACTGTGGCACTTCCGGTTTCGCCAAGCCCCCCTGGCCCGGGGCAAAGCAGCCTGTGCTGCCGAGCCCCCACAATAACTGTTCTTTTCCCCTTTCTCTTCTGCTCCCCTCCCTGTCCCTCACAGTAGGAGGGGCGGCGACACAGCAGGAGGGGCAGCGGCGCACCGGACGCGGCAGGAGAGGCGGCCTCTCAGGTAACCAACATATTTTGTAATCCGGCACCCCCAATTCCCTATGGGTGTCAGATAACAAAGCTTTTGCTGCATCTATCTAACTTACTCTTGAAACTTCCAGGGATGGCAATTCCATAACTTCTCTAAGTGCCTGTTCCAATGCTTGACCTACCCGCCTAGTCAGTAAGTTCCTTCTAGTCTCCAACCTAAATTTCTTCTGTAGCAGCTTGAGGCCATTGCTTATAGCCCTGTCCAATGCAGCCACAGAGAAAAGGATATCTGTCCATATCCTTCTTGAGGTGTAGGGTCCAAAACTGGACACGGTACTTTAGGTGAGGCTTACCAGTGCTGAGTAGAGCTAAACAGTCACTTCCTTTGATTTGCTAGTGACACTCCTGTTAATGCAACCCAGTACACAGTTGGCCTTTTACAATGAGAGCACACTGTTGACTTGTACTCAGTTTACAGTCTACTGTAACCCCTAGGTCCTTCTCTGCAGTACTGCAGCCTAGCCAGTCATTCCCCAGTCTGTATTTGTGTATAAAATTATTCCAACTCAGTTGCAGGGCTTTGCACTTGTTGGATTTCATCTAGTTAATTGCATGTTGTTTTTCCAGTCTATCCAGGTCAGTAACCCCTAACCTATTCTGCCATTTACTCTAGGCTACCTGACTCCTTCCCTATCTTTACTGCCAGCTGTACTTATCTGGTAGCTGCCCCTATTTGTGAAGACTGAAATAAAAAAGATGTTAAATACTTCAGCCTTCTCTGCATCATCTGTAACTAGATTGTATTCTGCATTCTGTAAGGGACCTGTGGTTTCTTTGGTCTTCCTCTTGCTCTTGACATATTTGTAGAATCCCTGTTTATTGTCTCTTATGTCCCTTGCACATATTTTCATTATTGCAGCTATTCTTGCTTGTGGGCACCTTCCCTTTTGAGTTTACAGGCTCCTGTATAGTCACATCTGTCTGGGTGTGCGTTAAACCATTTATTCCCAACTCCCTTTTCCCGAGCCCCTAAATAAATTAGGTAGTAAAAAAAGATGATAGAAATCTAGTTTTGCAAAGATGTCTGTGGAGAGCCTGGAGGGAGCAGCATGATGGATGGAATTATAGCAGGACAGAGGAAAGTTAGTAGACAAACCGGGTCAGGCTTGGAATATACTTTGGCTCTGTAGGAAAAGCTGTAGTTGTACTGTGTTTTTGGGTGGTCATGAGTGCGGTGTGCCAGCTGGCACTTAAAGAATAAGAGTTGAGGCCAGTAGGGGATGAAACTGCTCCTTCTCTTGTCTTATAAAATGGAATAGTTGCAGCATTGTAGTAGTGGTGCAAGTGCTTTATTTAAATGGCAACTCCTATATGACAGGACAGTTTTGCATCTGAACCAAGAAGCTGACTCTCTCTATTTTTTGTGTGTGGATACAATTATTAGATTATTTGGTGTGCATATACTAAAACATGAGCTATTTGGAAGGACTCTTTCCCCGATTATTTTGTTTATTGCTTAATCTGAACAGAAACTGATTTTTAGTTTTTACAGATTTCAGAGACATTTTTTCAGTATTCCTGTCAGATCCTAGTTTGAAGGGAAAAAAAACCAACAAAAACCCCAAGGAAAAAAAAATACCTAACCCTAAACAATGTGGAGAATATCTTGCTGTTTGTGTGGCAAGCCTCCCTTACTTCACATTTTTGATCAGTCTCTGGCAATTAAGTTTGAGCTTTCCAAAGCAGTGTTTTTTATTAGCTAGGCTTAAAAATCATCATATCAGCAATTTTGATACGGAAATGTGGTATTTTTTTAATTTAGGTTTTTTTCCTCTGATAGAGTTCAGAATTTTGAAATAAGATGTTGTGCACTAATATAAATTAAGTTTTGTATAGATTAAATCCCTCACGCCTATTAATTTAAAAGCTTCTAGAATTTTTTTCTCCTACATTGGAAAGTAAAAAGGAAAAACTCAAATGCGGTTCTCAAGTCTTTTTTTGACAAGAGCATCTCTTGAGTACTGTAAATTTAAGCTAATGGCATTTGATATCTTTTGAAATAAAATTATTTGAAAGTACATAACATGAGTTACTTCCAGGAAATTGTCTGGGTTTTGTTGTTCATACTTGGTTTTTCTGCATGTAACATTAAGAAAAGAATTGTTTTGAACTCTACCAGCACAATTTGGGAACTAAGCACCCCCTTGCAGTCAGTCAGGTTGTGGGGTGGCTCGCTTTTGAAGTTTCTCCTTCTTTTTAAAGGTTCTAAATCTATGCAAGATGGCTGGGGGGAGAATGATGGGCCAGTAACAGGAACGCGGCATTCCAGCTGGGAAGAGGAGGAGGAGGGAGGAGTCTGGAACACAGCAGGCTCTCAGGGAAGCAGTTCCTCCCACAACTCAACAAGCTGGGGGCCAGGAAAGAAACCACAAATTAAGGTAAGAATCCTAATGCTTGAATGATTTGTTCATACTTGCCAGGTGCTCTGAAACCAGATGTAATCAGGCTATTAGGCGCTTCCTTTTGGAAAACAAGCTATTGTATTATGTCATTCCATCACAGAGGTGGCTGCTTTACAGTGATGTCTGAAGTGCTAGGTTTCTGGTCTTGTTGAATGTAATAAAGCTATTATGTCTTGTAACTGATAGTAGTTGCTAAATTCTTCTGGTATGTGGGCTGCAGAGCCACTACCTAATGAAGCTGAGCAGTAAATGTCCCAGAGTCGTTGCTTTTCTCTTGCCGATGCATTATTCTGAATTAGGCTGCCACAGATTCCCTTTACGTAATCTATTAACATTCTGATCCCACACACTCTTCTTTACTGTTACTTTTGTGCTGGGCCTTATTCCATCTTTGCTAGTTTATGACAACAGTGAGAAAAAGCAGAAGCAGGTGACTGTACTTGGCTGCTGAGCTAACTGCTGCGCAAGGAAACGAATGTGTTAATGTTTCAGCAGTAGTGTTTCTACCTGCAGACAAGGACTTCCTTTTGGCCAAGAGCTGAGATATGCAGATTAAGAAGAATGGCTCACAACAGCTCTTGGGAGCATTTAATCAGTCTTTATTGTAGTACCAGGGTTGGGGAGAGTTGCCTGTCTGCTTTTTGGGACCCATTGATTCCCATTAATTTCAGTCCTGTTTTTTTTTTTTTCCTTGCTCATTTTTCAGACCCTGTTTTATTCTTCTTATCACAAAACAATAGTCTGTTAGCTTTGCTTTTCAGCTTGGTTTTTGTACTCTAGTATTGCTGATTTGGCTTTCAGTTTTGTTTTGTGATCATTTACAAATAGCATCGAGGCCAAATTGAAAGCCCAGCCAGCATGGTGTTGATTTGAGAGGAAAGAGCTAAAAGGGGAGAAAGCACAATGGGGACTTCCACATAAAACACACCAAAGAATTCATCTGTTTAAACAAGTAAGAAAATAAATCGCTGTGCTCAAATCTGTTCTGGTCCTAGAATGAAACGGAAGTAGTGTTATACCTATTGCGTAACTAAATCTCCATCCACCCTGATACCCAAAAGTGAACAGTTATAGTCGGTTTTTAATAGTATCTGGCAAGTCTCTAACAGAATAAAAGCTTAATGTGTCCTTGTAGCGTTTGAGAGGTGGTTTTCAATAACATTGTTTTCAGGTGATACTTCCGCAAATCAAGGGTGGAATCAAGGAAGTGTGAAAATAGAGGCAAGGTGATAGGGAAACTATTTAATTACCCATCTCTGTTTTTCAGTGCCCGTTAAAAGGAGGAAATAGTGATTCATGGATGACCCCTTTATCCAAGCAGTTTTCAAATATGGGATTGCTAGTAAGTAGCTTATTTTTTAACACCATAAACAGCCAGCTTGGGAGTAGACTTCCTGTAATATGCAGAATTATAAATTTAGTTATTTGCTAGCAGATTTTTAACAAAACGCTCCTTTTTTTATCGTCATACCCTTTCCTATCATATCAGTCCCACTAGTGATAGTAGCTAAATATTTAAACTCCACTAACTATTTTGGAAATGTGGGGTGTATATATAGTTCTTATTTTGGAGTTAAGGAAATTGGGATACAAAGATGCTGTGATAAGCCTGAAGCCACACGGAATGCCATTGGCAGAACTGGGGGTAGAAGCTCTCGGCCCCTGGTCTCAAATTCAGTCCACTAGACCACGGATGTCTCAGTTATGGGAACACCCTGTTCCAGACTGCCAGGAGAAGAATAACTTGGCAGCACATTTCAAAATTTGATGACTTGACAGGTCATGAGGATGAGCTATCATTTTGGCTGCCATTCCCAGAACTTGATCCTTTGACCACTGGAACATGAGGACAGAGGTTAATTTCTCAGAGCAGCTGTTCATCCATCTCTCTCTGTGGCATGAGTTCATATGTCCTTTTGCAGTTTAATAAGCCTACCACCAAACACAGTTGGGGTAAGGTGTGTTCAAGGTTGCATCAGGACTCTAGTTTCATTTAGAAAATGACTTCTCACTCACACAGGTATGCTGCTGTTTATTCTGACCTGTCTTTAACCTTGAAAGATATTTTGTGTAATATTCTCCAGCTTTGCTTGGGTGTCAGTACAGCATCTCTTTTTTTTTTTTTCTTCTTTCAGAGTCAAACTGAGGATGCTCCAGGCAGTAAGATAGAGTTGTCTGTAGGTATGTATAACTTAATTAAAATACATTCGGTATAATGGGACTGAGCACCATGGGCTAAGTTTCCATGGATGACATGGTCAGCTTGGAAGAGGTGTGGATAATTATTTTTGAGCACTTTTCTTACAAGCAGGACAGCAGCAGAATTCAGCTGCTTAGCGCTAGAATTTTGTGCAGATAAGCAACCACTGCTGAAACAAACAAGGCTGAGGAAGAGGTCTACATAAAATGGAGGCATTGCACAAAAACCAAAAAAAAAGCAGGAGACCCTATTCAGATTGTAGTGTTTGATACTGCTGTTTAGAGGAAACAAGTGCACCTTGTCATGTGTCTTAGCTAGGTAGAAAAGGAGAGAGTTTATTAGCTCTTGGCATTAGGATATCCCAATTACCACAGCTTCCTGGAGTTGATGCGAGGGGAAAGGGAAGAGCTAATCCTGAATAGGACTAGATTCTTTACTCTGGACAACCTGACCACAAACAACAGGGAGCTTAAATGGGTTATGCTATGCGAGAAGTGTCATTACAAATGGTAAATGAAAGTGACCCCTTGGATTATTTGGTTCAATCTCATAGGCGATTGTAGAGTCAGAGAAGTAGGGTTGGAAGGACCTCCATAGGTCATCTAGTCCAACCACCTGCCTCCAAGCCAAGATCATCCCTGTCCAAACCATCTGATACAAATCCACAATCTCTAACCTCTTAGTAAAACAGCAGTCAACCCTGGTACAACACAAATCATAACACCGTATCCTGCCACAGGTAAAGCAGGGGGACCACAGCAGCCAACATCCTGCTTCTGTAAAAGGTCGTTAATATACATGTAAGGAATCACAAGTACAGAGCCACAGGATGTCTGGGTTTCTTTCTGTACCTACACTTCATCTCTCACAAAATTTTATGTATTTTTCCAATTTCTGAAGGTTCATGTAACAAATAGTTCTCTCTTATATCTGCACAAAATTGGATGTGCATTGGGAGCCTTGTAAGAACCCAAGCTTACAGAACGTTTTTTGCTAGAGGATAGATTCCTTGCCAATGCAGTGAGGTGATATCTTTCACCAGTCTGAATCTGAAGTCTGTACACAGTTGGTCATGTGTGAATCGCTCCCATTTTAACACTATGAAGTATTGTGGCTGAGGACGTTCTAGTTGAATGAAGGCAAATGAAAAATAGGCCCATTAAGGGAGATGCTTTTGTCATTGGTAATTGTTTCAGGTGGTGGACTTAGGGTACTTACATTAATGTACTGGAAGTGAGAGTTACTCTGGCTTTCAAGGCTTTTCTCCCTGTGATCAATTCAAAACTTGTTCAATTCTTTAAATAAACAATGCCATGGTGTTATGTTATACCAGCTAGCAATAGAAGGGGCTCATTTAACCAGCTATGTCAAAAAGAGTGATCTGGTGATCCAGTAAGATTAAATCCCAACTAGTTTTCTTTCTGCTGAAAGTTATTTTGTTTTCTCTGGTTCTGCTCCATGTATGAGCAGGACTCACTTTCCTGATTGACTTTCCTTTTCTTCCTGGCTTGGGGTCAGGTGTTCTGTGCCTTATCTGGATCTGTCTTCTAGGAATTTAGTCAGAAATCAAGATTGTCTCAGTAGCCCTAATGAGGTCTTGAAAACTGTTGCCACTGTCCTGTTTCTGGTGTTGACCTCTGCTGTTCCTGTTCTTTAGACTACTTGATCTGTCATCTTAGCATTTATGTTTCTACCCTGGTCAGAAGTTTCTCAGATCACCCACTTGACTTCTGGACAGCTTAGATACTCAGCAGCAGGTGCTCAGGGGAACTTCAGAAGACCCTGTTGGAGAGCCAGGTGGCTTTGATTATAGATTGTCTTGTTCCAGTTAATTGGAAGGAATTTCCTTTTCAAGCTTTTCAGATGGGAATGGGCCTTTTCTTTAAACTTCAACTATCTGTTACCCTTCTTTTGTACTGTCAGGTTGTTTGGCTGCCATCACAGCTTTTTATCCTATGCAGTCTGCAGCAACAAAGTTTCTGAAAGGTTTGTTCTGTGTGCCACTAAAGGCTGGTTGAAAGATTTGTTTTGCTGCAGTAGTTGCAAGAAAGGAGACAGGACTCTTCATTGCAATAGATAGGTGTAGATAGCCTGCGTCATGGCTGCTCCGACAGGGCAGGTTTATTTATTTGTCCTAGACAGAGTTTTCATACGTGGAATTCTTCTGCTGTGAGATTTGTACTCTTGTTTCCGTGATATTTATGATGTCTTGGTTTAAGTGTTGGTCAAACTGCTCTTCTGTTCCATGTCTCTGTTAAGGTGTCATTTATTATAATAACTTCACCCTGGAGAGTTAGTGAGATGCCCATTAGACCTGTAAGTCGCTCTGTATCGTATATAGTAGTGGAAACATTACCTTACCTGTATTATTGTCAACCTGAAACCCTGCAGCTCCATACAGGATTTCTGGTATGCTTTCCCTTTGATTCAGGAAAATGAGTTGTGGTTATTTCCACTGTTCTTGATCTGGCATTGAGAGCAAATCCAGAAAAAACAGTACACGGGAAACTGTGAGCTGCTTTGAAGAGATGTGAAGCTTCTGTATGTAAGAGATGCTCTGTATACAGACCTGCTCTTGAGACCCAATGGAAGACGTTTGATATTTTCTATCCAGAACCAGATATAGGCCTCTGTTTTAATATGTCACTTGCTAGCGTATTGTCTATGTGACTCCTATTCTAATTACACATGCACTATACACACATGAGGTTTTTTGACAAGTTAATTTGGGTCATTTATGCATCTAACACACCTTCTAACCTCTCTCCCGTCAGAAGAATGTGGGGGCCGAGAGGGGACCGAGGATCGGGAATCTTCGGGAACGCTAGCTGGCAATTGTAGTTGCAACAATTCTAATCTCTAGTCGCTAATCAAGGAGCTCTTGTAGACCGGGTAGCCCGGGTCTAACTCGGGCATGCAACACGGAGGATACGTCGTAAGGCTTCGACGACAGGGAGTCGTTGGCAGGTGATCAAACTGCCGGAGTTCCACTCCAGAGGAAATCGCGGAGTTCTCCAACTAGGGCGTAAACGTCCCTAACCTTTTATACGGCTAGCGAGCCAATTGCCAACCGCCACGTGGGAATAATTTAACATCGGCCAATCATGTTATGCAAATCGGCATATCCTTGGCGGGAACTCTATCCACGCCGGAACTCTTCACCACGCTGAGAATTCCCCTGCCTTACCGTGCCTTGTGCTGGAAAGTTCCGCTGTGTCGAGGCACTGATCCAAATCAGCTCTGACACGCCCCCTTGCCGAAGACACAGCTGGGACTTGAAGCACGTGCATGCCGTCCAAATTATCGCTCCTTTCTAAAGATAACTGACTATATACAAAGGTATACAACGACAGTAGTTCGTCCTCTACGGATCGAACCAAATAGTAACCAACAGACATACACATCAATATATTGGTCACAAAAAGTTCAATCACGAGGAGTTCAATAGGTGTCATGGCAGAGTCACACGTCAGACGACCTCTGCGTGTCTCTTTCTCTCTCTGGATCCGCTTCTGACACGTATCTTGAACCTCGGGTAAACCTGTTGAAAAAAGAATTCTTAGACACTGTTAATCAACCTATATAACACAATTCGTATGGAGAGGTAATCAGATCTCTTCTCTCGGTTCCCCACTCTCCTTCAAGCACATGACATAGGTGCTCGAACTCGACTCGGCTCCGGACGGCTCTTGCACGCCCGCAGATGCACCGTCACGAATGACGATCCACACATGGACGCTGCGTGGTCTTGTCCTAACACGATGAGGATGTTCCGGAGTCGCTGTCTGGATCCTTCGGACACTGGAAACCTAGCTCGTGGGCCAACTGCCATTGACCCTTGTCTCCCAGGATCCGCAGCTGTCGCTTCGTGAGTCTGGAGTGGTGTAACAGGAAACCAAACATAATCCTCTCCTCTCTCGTCCTCTGCGGTGGTTGCCACACTCGCTCTGGGTCATTCGAAGTCCCTGTGTCTGACTTCATGAGCACTTGCAATCGCGGAAGCTGTCACAGAAGGTTGCAGGCCGGTTGGCCAGCTAACGGATTGAGGAGGACTCGAAGGACGGTGGCGTTCCTCCCTCCATACACCTCAACACAAGCCTCCACACTGCCAGAAGTCACTGGAACAGTTCCAGGGTTTCATAGGTGGTGATGCGGCCACGGTCTCTGCTGCTGGGTCGGTGTCAGTCCCAGCGCATGCTCCCTGGGGTTCCAGGAACCGTACGAGCTTCCTATCACCGCCAGTC